TTAAGGGTACAAACAACTTGTCTTTAGAATTATTTTTAAGCCAAAAGATTGTTTTTTTAAAAAAAAACAATCATTCTCCCTAGAGAGAAGTCCAATCGTAGTCACAGAAAGAAATTGTACATGCTTGTTTAAGGCAACATTATTCAGTTGAATTGTAGAACCCAAATGCCCATTAATGAATGAATGAAGAACAAAAGATGGTACATCTATATAGTAGAATACTAGACGGCAACAAAAAGTAATAAGAGTGCTGATACAAGTTACAGCATGGATGAACCTTGAAAACATTATGCTAAGTGAAAGAAGCCAGACATAAAGAACATGACTCCATTTGTATTAAATGCACATCCATAGATAACGAAATATAGGTTAATGATTGCCAAAGACTGAGGGGAAGAGGAAGAATGAGGAGTGATAACTTGATGGGTACAGTGTCTCTTCTTTTGGCAATACAAGTATTCTAAAATTAGGTAATAGAAATGATTACACAGCTCTATAAATATTCCAAAAAACATTGAACTGTATACTTTGAAAATATGAATTTTATAGTATAAAATTATATCTTATTAAAAAGTGATAATAAATGTAAAACTTTATGTGGGTGAAATGAAGAGCAAAAATACACTGATCATTTATACCGTGCTTTCTACCAGGGTGAAATTTCATTATGTAGCTCATTCTAATAAAACTGTTAGCAAAGTGACATTGCAAATTTGAAATACTAAGCTTATTCCATTATGCTATCAGGTCACTAAAGAGAAATGTGAATGACTTTCTTTTTATCCTAGCAGTGTGTGTCCCTTGGTGAAAATCGTTCTCTGATATTAACAGTTTCTATTCAGAGGCAAGAGAGTTGAGCAGATATAGCAGTTAAGGTGTCTGGTTTTTCCATTCTCAGTAAAAATGTTCTTGCATTTGTAGTCATAGTGAATGTTTGAATCTTTAAAGCTCCTACTCTTTGTAAAGCCAAATTCAAAACTGCCTGCTAAAATGATTAATGTGGTAGAAATTAGTTGGGCTAATTAGGTCAATAAATATTTTAACTCATTAAGATAAAAGGTCAGATAGGTAAAAGACTGGGAAAGTATGTAATAGAAGGTGTTGTCTTTGATTCTGAAGACATAATTTTATTCCTGGATTTTTATACCATATATAGCATACTAAATTGTTTCTTTGATACAAAGATTAATTGTGAATGAAATGTCTTCTAGGTGTATTAGGATTTGCATGAGTTATTCTCCATTATTTCTGTTCTTTGTTAGAAATCCCTTTTAGTGATTAATGTCTTAATTTTTTCAACTTTGCTACTTCAGTGTACTTTTTTTGCAATTAATGCCTGATTTATTCTCAGGTTTTCCCATGCCCAAGTACCCCCTGATGATTCTCTTAGAGGTGATTCTTCTATGTGGTCGAAAGAGTGAATTCTATATAGTATTTCCTCAGTATTTTTCTTGCTGCAATTATACTTCTCTCTAAATAAATCTTTTAAGTCAAAGTATTAATGGAAGACAGTAAAGATTATTTGCTTTTCACAAACTAAGTAATATATTTTCTTTTCTTCACAGCTTTATTGAGATATAATTCACATACCATACTATGCATCCATTTAAAGTGTCCCATGATTTTCAGTGTGCTCACAGTTATGTGCATCCACCATCACAGTCAATAACAGAACGTTTTTATTACTTGAAAAAGAAACCCTGTGCCCATTAGCTATCAGCTCCCTAGCCAAGGTCCTCACCCTGCCTCCAGCACTTAGCAACTGAGCTACTTTTGTCTTTAGAGAGTTGCCTATTCTGAAAATTTCATATGACTGGAATCATATAATTTATTGGCTTTTGTGACAGGCTTACTTCACTTTACTGATATAATAAGGTTTATCAAAATGTTTTATAGTGGTGAAAGAGTCCATTCACTAGAAATATTTAGCAAATATGCATCTCATATCAGAGCACCAAAATGTGCGAGGCAAAAACTGACAGAAATGAAGAGATAAATAAAAGATTCAACAGTAATAGTTGGAAACTTCAATACTACTTTCAGTAGTAGATAGACTAGCTAAGCAGAAGATTAACGAATAAATAGAAAACTTGAACAACACTGTAAACCAACTATATACCTAACAGATGTGTGTAGAACACTCTACTTCAGAGCACACATTATTCTGAAGTACACATAGAACATTCTCCAGACTAAACCATATGCAAAGCTATAAAATGTATCAATAAATTTAAAATCATAGAAGTAATGCAGAGTATCTTCTCTGACTAAAGTAAAATGAAACTGGAAATCAATAACAGAAAAAATGGGAAACTCAAATATATTTGGAAAGTAAATAGCACACTCCTGAATAATCAAAGAAGTTGGAAAGTACTTTGAGATAAATGAAAATGAAGACACAACATATCAAAATGTATGGGATGCAGCTAAAGCATGACTTGGAAGAACATTTATAGCTATGTTTTAATGCCTCAAACAGTAAAGAATCCACCTGCAATATGGGAGACCTGGGTTCGATCCCTGGGCCGGGAAGATCTCCTGGAGAAGGGCATGGCAATTTACTCCTGTATCCTTGCCTGGAGAATGCCATGGACAGAGGTGCCTGGTGCACTACAGTCCATGGGGTCGAAAAGAGTCAGACATGACTGAATGACCAGCACACACACACATTAAGAAAGAAAGAAATCAAAAATGTAACCTTCCAGTTTAAGATACTTGACAGAGAAGAGGAATCTGAAATACAGTACAAACTAACATCCAGTTTTCAATGTGGCTTCCATACACCTGTTATATAAAGCTAGTGTTTGTGAAAATGTGCACCAGATACTGTTTTCCAGTATGGGCTCAGTTTAGAAACGCAACGAAATCATGAGCCTATTTCAGTTCCTAACTCTTAAGTAGTGTTATGTGATAGAAAGAGCACTGTTTAGGGTGTTGATCAAATCCATGCCTGAATCCTGGTACCACCACACCCTATATGTGACATTGGACAAGTTGCTTAATCTCTCTGAGACTTACTTTTCTCATCTGTACAGTAGATGTAATTTTCTCTGTCTGAGAATTACAAGATAACATGTCAAAGGGCCTAGTTCAATATCTGGCAGGTAGTAGGTGCTTGATTAATATTTATTTATAATCACTGGTGAATTAAAATTGGAATGACAGCCTAAGTACCTATATGGCATGGATATACATATATGAATGGGACTTCCCAGGTGGCTCAGTGGTAAAGGAATCTACCTGCTGATGTAGGAGACAAATGAGATGCAGATTCAATCCCTGGGTTGGGGAAAATCCCCTGGAGGAGGAAATGGCAACTCACTCCAGTATTTTTGCCTGGAGAATTCCATGGACAGAGGAGTCTGGCGGGCTACAGTCCATGGGGTCAAAAAGAACTGGACACATCTAAGCAACTGAGCACACACACATACATATGTGAATATTCTTGAGAGAGAGACTGGAAGAAAAGTAGTCTAATGTAGAATCCTACTATGTACCAGGCTTAGGGCTGGTCACATTATCTATAGCTATACAACATATAACTTGTTTGACAGTTTGGACTGATATCGCTGTTTTAACAGCCACTAAAACACTCTACTTAGGCAAAATACACATGCTGGCCTAATTGATTGTTTTAGAAATAGCTTATAATGGTTAAATATTTGAGCCCCTCAAATATGAAAGGACTAAAACTTTAACTTGTTATTACTGGTGTAATAAATTCTATTAATTGTGTTTTAGGAAAGCATATTTCTTAGTTGTGCAATTCTGTTGCCTATTTGGACTACAGATTAGTGGCGTTAAAGCTTTGAAACACATTTATGATTTGATTGGCAAGATAACTGATTAAGTTCTGCTTTTACTGAAAGCATATTTTAGCAGGCACTTTTATGCTTATTTTGTTTATTGTGTGGTTGATGACTGAGTATTTTCACCAGCAACACAAGCCTCAAACCAGGTTCAGAACTAGTACTTGTCAAAACTGTAACATGAATATGAATCGCTTAGAGATCTTGTTAAAATGTGGATTTTGATTTATCAGGTCTAGAGCAGGGCCTGAGAGTTTATATTTCTAACAAGCTTCCAGGGGTTGCAGATGTTGCTGGTCCATGGACCACACTTTGAGCTGCAAGATTGTGTAGAATCCAAGCGGTACCTATGCTAGAATCAGAAATGAGGAGAGCCCATCTGGTATTACATATCACAGTCTCAAATGCCTATTCATACTCTCTGAGTATAATCTACTTCCTTAACTGAGCCCTGTAATAATTAAAACTTTGTAGGCATTGAACAGCAGTGATTCTATTCTTATATTTCATGTATTACAGTGATTGAATATGGTAATAGAATAAACCCTGTTATGCATTTTCAGTAGTTCTTTGTACTGTCTATTACCTTGCGCGCTGCTCAGGCCCCTTTACACTGTATCTCATTGAATATGAAAAGTGGTGTACATGAAGCATCTCCATTTCCATTCTCTAGAGCTCTATAGCTGCCTTGTTGGCCCTTACTCTATGAATAACAAAGAACAATGAATACAAACCACTTAAACCCCAGTCAGACTTTCGTTACTAAATGAAGAGAGTAAGCAATTGTTTCCCCTAAACTCAGGCCTGCTTTTCTAATAATTTAAGTGAGCATTTATGGAAGTTTCCTTGGAGAAGCTGGCAATCCACTGGCAGTCCACTCCAGTATTCTTGCCTGGAGAATCCCATGGACAAAGGAGCCTGGTGGGCTACAGTCCATGGAGTCGCAAAGAGTCGGACATGACTGAGCGATTAAGACACACACAGAAGCTTACAGGAAGGCTGATTTCAAGTCTTTAGTCATTTAAATGAGAGCACAGATTGAGTTTTACCTGGAGAGTCCATAGCATGCACAATTTGATTTTTGTATGTAATTTGACTACAGAGACATCATTTTAAGACCTGTCAAATTAAATTCTTAGTATGAAATATATGTGGCTCGAAATATAATGCATGCCATCTGATTTGTTACAGAACATAGAAATAGTCACAGTAAGGACAAGAGGAAAACGAGGACAAGAAAATGGAGAGGGAGGAGTAGCCTGGCTGATGACATGGCTGTGTTAAGTAGCAGCTTAACCACAAGCACGCTTCCTGCCAATGGTAGCAAAACAGACAGCACACGGGAGAAGGGGACCCACAGAAGAACAAAACGTTTTTTATCCTATCCACGGTTTGTAGAAGTGATGGTGGTAGCAGACAACAGAATGGTTTTATACCATGGAGCAAACCTTCAACATTATATTTTAACTTTAATGTCAATTGTAAGTATATTCAAAAGTAGGTGATTTATGTTTCTAAATGTGCCTTTGGGAATGGGTTTCTACCCAGTGCTTTGGAGGATCATTCAGGTCTGTCATTTCACCGATTCAGGCAAGTGACTGAAGAGAACATAAGATTATTCATTGGCTGCTCTTGACAGTGACAATAATGAGTATAAATAGTGAGTGTTTATTCTGCATTAGACAGTGTACTTTTTACTTAAAAGGCATCATTTCTAATCCTCCTGGCAACTCCGCTAGGTAGATTGTCGTTCCTATTTGGTTGATAAGAAAACTGAATCTCACAGGAGTTGGGTTGCTTGTCCATGACCGTGTAAAGCCAGTAAAGTAGCTGAGAGACTGCATGTGATCTTCAGCCTGCCCACGTCTCCAGATCAGTGCCCTTTGACGTGTGAATGGGCACAGCCAGGTGTGGGTCACCAGCAAGACATTTGGGCGCTGGTTGTGAATCAGAGTCACTGGTGGAGCTTTGTAAAATGTCTCTATCCCCTGCCCCCAGGATTTTTAATTAAGTAATTTTGGGGTGAGGCTTAGGAATCTCTCACTTGAATTTTGAGTTTTTCTGCTCCCATTTTGAATTGAAAAAGTAATAAATTTGCATGACAGAAAAACAGATCAAGCAGATCCAAAGACTAGGGGAAAAGCCTAAGTGCTTTCCCCTACCCAGTCTCCCAGAGGCCACCTATGTGGCAAGTTTATTTGCCCATGTTTCTAACCAGCACTGCCCAATAGAAACATGATGCGAGCCATGTTTAAAAATATAGGTGAATGTAATTTAAAATTTTGTTAGCCACACACACACAAAAGAAACAGGCAAAATTAATTTTAATCGTGTATTTTGTTTTATATCTCAGTGTTATTTCAAAAATATTAATGAGATGAGTTTTTCTCCATATTAAGACTTTAAAGCCCAGTATGGCCTGCACACTCAGAGCACATCTCAGTTCAGACAAGCCACATTTCAGTTGTTCAGTGACCACTTGGCAAGTGGCCACCATGTTGGACAGTGCAGCTCTGGACACTTCTTAAGCAAACATGTATGGCTGTATTTTTTTTCAGAGATGGAGCATATGTAATATGGTTTTACATATTCCTGTTTTCTTGAAATATTGGAGATTGTCCCATAATAGTTCCTATGCTCTGCCTTCATTCATTTTAAGCCTCAGGCTAGCATTCCTATTAATAGATTGACCCTAGTTTATTTGAATGGAAGTCTACTTGTATTACCTTCCCCAAATGCATATGAACAGCTGCCCTTTGGGAATATCCGTTTAGTGTCTCCTCTTTCCTCTCAACGGCCTTGTGTTCTCCTAGTGCGTCCCCTGTGATTTCACCTGTGCTGTGAATCACTCCGCTATGTTCCTCATCCCCCTACCCACTTGCCTCTTCCCCCCACTCTCCCTCACCCCCTTCCTCAAGTTCAGTCCCATTTGCCCCAGCCCTCTCCTATTCTGGTGGAGGGAAAGAAAAACCTAGTCATGCCTTTTACAGACTCAACTCCATTTCTGCCCCATAAATTCAGATCTGTCAAGAATTTTAATGACAAGCATGGACTTAAGGTCAAATTGATCTTGCTTGAGAATTCCAACTCTGCTGTTTACCACTCTCTGTTTAGTCTTGGACAAGTCACTTAACTTCTCTGAGCCTCATTTTTCTCATTTGCTGAGCAAAGATTATGGACATACCTAGTTTGAGTGTTGCTATGGGGACTAAATACAAAGGCATATGCTGTTTTTAGCAAGGATCTAGGCTACAGCAAGCATTCAATGGGTATAGCTCTCAGAATTAACGGTATTAATGGAGAGAAAAAAAGTTACCAGATTATGGAGAATATAAATGTTTGGTACACCAGCAGTATTAGCAAGCTTATTGTCCATGTGAGATTGCATAAATGGCAGTCCAGCTTCAACTTGATCAAAAATTATTATCCAGTGTTTTGGCACTGAGAACTGCTAAGTTACATGGCAGTGTGGTTTCCTTGGAAAACACCTTGAAATTTAAACTTGTTTGTGTTTATTACTCTCTGAAACTGCCATCTATGCATTTTACAAAGAGACTTTTAAGAAGTATTTGTTGACTGAATGAAAATTCAGAACTCCAAAATGCATATGTTTATCAAACATAAAAAGCCGTGGAGACCAGCATAAGAAGTGATTTGCTTATTGCTTACAAAGAATTCACAATTAACTTTGAAAAATTTATCTTGGTTGCAGGTAGCCTCTATCTATAAAGACCCAAGTATTGGAAATTTAATTAATATTGTTATTGTGAATTTAGTTGTGATTCATAATGAACAGGTAATAAAGTTTTATTTCTTTTTTCTTCTCTCTGTGTCCTAAATGGCATATCTAATTGGTGTTATTACAGTGGATCAACCGTAATTCTTGTCTGTATTTAGGAAGGACCTTCCATATCTTTTAATGCTCAGACAACATTAAAAAACTTTTGCCAGTGGCAGCATTCAAAGAACCATCCAGGTGGAATCCAGCATGATACAGCGGTTCTTGTAACGAGGTATATGGATGTCTTATCCTTCCAGTCTTTTAGTTTCTGGTCAAGTTGATGGGATAAGGTTGTATATTGCTGATAGCCAGCCCCTAGTCCAGAGTTTTTCAACTTTAGCATTGTTGACATTTTGGATCAGATAGTTTGTGTTGTGGGGACTGCCCTGTGCCCTGCAGGATGGTTGGCAGCATCCTTTGTCTCTACCTGTTGTATACTGGCAGCTCTCCCTACTCCTGACTGTGACAGCCACAGTGTTGTCCAGATGTTGTCAGATGCTCTCTGAGGGTACAAGGGGGAGAAGACAGAATCACAGCTGGTTGAGAACCACTAACCCATAGTTACCAGGTAGGCAACAAGTGTGTCAGACAGTCCTGAAAGTAAACGCCCTTGTAGAGGGAGCAGCTGCCATTCAGACTGTTCAGGATATACATACAGTCTTGCCAGCTTTAGTGATTCTGTAAGAAGCCAGAAATGAGGATTTTTTTTTTTAATGTGAAAGCTCCTAGTTTTTAAATGGCAGCTTCTAGTTGAGAATGTTTAAAACGCTGTGCAGGGCAACAAAGAAGTGTGCTGGCCTGGGCTTCCCTGGTGGCTCAGGCAGTGCAAAGTATGCTGGCCTAGTCGTGTCTTCCTTCAGCCATCTTTGATATGGCCACAAATTCTTAACTAAACTTAAGTGAAAGGCAGTTAGAGCCTTCTCAGAATGTTTTTTCAGAAAGTAGAATCACTTGTTTCAAGGTATGAGGAAAATCCTGGATGGAAAGATTTTCATTTGCCCTTGGCCACCCTGGTTGACAGGAGATGGCTCAATGTAGTTTTTAGTCTGTAAGCCAGTGATTCATAAATTTTTTGAGTTGCAAACCCTTGGCTCTGTTAACTAGGTTTTTGTCATCCCTCCCCATCCCTAAAGTAGTGGTGGTGTGAATACCTGAAAGGCTGAAGTGTTTGCTTGTATTGATGTTTACTGTTGGGTGTCAAGCCCCTAAAGCAAGTCTGCTTTGCTTTCAGACAGGATATCTGCAGAGCTCATGACAAATGTGATACATTAGGTGAGTCCACTGTGCGTATCCTCTCTGGCTTCCACACTTTATGACGTGCTTTTCTTCCAAGCCACAGATGCTTTTTAAAGTAAATCCTTGTTTGTTTGTTTGTTTTCCTTTCTAATAGGTCTGGCTGAGCTGGGAACCATTTGTGACCCATACAGAAGCTGCTCTATCAGTGAAGATAGCGGATTGAGTACAGCTTTTACAATAGCCCATGAGCTGGGCCATGTGTATGTTTCTTTTCCATATTTTCATTTAATCTGGAGTGACCTAAAACTTTTGTTCCTTCGCATCAGTGAGCATTCACTGGACTTTAAAAGGTGTAAGACACTTCTCGAGGCATAGTTGAGTTTTCAGGGTTGAAAAGCTTTGAACCTTGTTGGGAGAAATGACTTTGACTTCAGAAAGCTGAGTAAATGCAGTGCACCCTGTTCAACCTTAGCTCATGTGTCTCTTTGGCTTAGCTGAACAGGTTTACCAGGCAAGGTCTAATATGCTCCTTTCCTACTTCAAAGTGGAAGAAAGGAGGTCTTTCTACCCCTTCCACTGAAGCAGAGAGTATATCAGCCCAGAAAATTTATCTGACATAATATCTTTGTTTATTACGGTCCTCCAACATTGCTGTGGCCTGCACAATTTTCCCAAACCCAGATCATTCCTAATTCTGGTTATACAAGTTTGACCTTCAGATACTAGCCTCTGAGAACAGAAGTGACCCTCTTTCAGGGGAAAGAATGAACAAAGATACAGAGAAGAAAGAAACCATTTCTTATTTATGATCATTAAGTGTCTGGTCATTGTGAAATTGGCTGTTCATTTTTGTTCTTTAGCGACAAAGCCTTGTTAGAATGTGGAGCAAAACAGTATAAATTTACTCAAAATTATTCTAGTTTTTTATCTGCCATCTTTTCTTTCTGCAGTAATTAAATTACTTATGTTATACCTTTTTGAAACAATTTTCAAAAGTAGCTGTGTATGATCTGCATGTCAGATGTTTACTTTAGAGATAACATCATCTATTAAGCTAACTCTTTCATTTGCCAAATGTTTTTTGAAGGCACTTTATATGCAGTGTACTATGGTAGGTGTAATGCAATATGCATATGTAGAGGAATCTCTAATCCCAGCTCCACAATCTCTTATCCCAATTCCACATATAATGAATGTATTTTCAAGCATATTTGAAGAGCACACTCCTTTTATTCTCCAAGGAAATATCATCAGGTGCTCAATATTTACAGAATAAAAAAAGGCATGACTTTCAATTAAGCCTTTGTGATGGATCAGAGTCCTTCTTAGTCAACTGTCTCTCTGTCCCTTGATTTCTCAAATACCTTCCTGAAACTCAAGGATTTCTTGGAACTAGATTTGAAAATTACTGGTTCTACCAGCATTTCCCAAAGTTTGGTACTCTTACACTGATTCCAAGAGAATGGGCCATGGGACGAAATAAGAGTGTTGTAATCCAGTGATTTAAAATTTTTTTCCTAGCCATGTTTGGAGTGCCAAGGCCAAATGCCATGAAGTAAAGGTTCTGACAAGTCCTGTATTGATTTTAGCTCGGGTGTTGTTTTTAACTCAGTTCCCCCATACTTATTTTAACAGAATCTTTGGAGGATTTTTCATTTATTTGTTTTACATGAAACCTAGTAAATTACTTTAGACCTTTAAATAAAAGATGCAGATTTCATAGTGAGGAATAGGGTGACGTTTCAATGGGACAACTATTCCTGCCCCAGAACCTGGAACAGGGAGAGTTACAGAGATAAGAATGTATTCCAAGGGCAAGGGTGTATTTGATTAACAGATTAACATTTCCTCCCAAAATAGGGCTAACAAAAATATACTGTGTAAAGAAATATAATTAATTTCCTATTAATTCCTTTCCCCAAAAGAGTTTATAAACCTCTTTTAGACAGCCAGTTTATAAAATTGACATTTTAAGGAACATAAGAATTTTAAATAGCAACAACAAAATATTTATGCCATATAGAAGTCTTAATTCGCAGTTAACGGACAACTCCCCCTCTAAAAACTATGCTGTTGACATGTTTCCAGGAGCTTTCATTTATATTATCTCCTTTAATCTTTATAATCCCCACAAGGTAGATATTATTAAGTCTGTGTGTTTGACTTAGAGATATTAAGTTAACCAAATTATAGTAGCCAGCCAAATCGTGGTAGCTAATGATGGCATAGGAGCATATGATGTTGGAGCACCAGTTCTAGGGTAGAAGTCAGCAGGTAGCCAGATAGCCAAGATCTGGACTGAATTGTTACAACATTCCCTTTGACTTGAGGAAAATATATGCTATTTCCCTTCCTGTAAGATGGAAACAATACATATACATCTTATCTCAAAAGTGTCAGGAAGTAAGAAATCAAGTAATTGGTGAATGATGTGAGTTGTGGCTTAAACAGAAAGTGTATTCCTAGCCTGTTAATGAATTATTTTTCTTTTGGCACTTTGTTTCCTCGTGTTAACTTTGTTCTTATGTTAAGAAAAGTGGAAATCTTTTTTTTTTTTAATTTCCTATCATATTCTCTAACAAATTTTTCTAATTAACTTTTTCAAAATTAAATGTTAAGTTGTTATGAGCATGACTTTCTGATAAAATAAAATCCAAGAGCTGCTCAGAGGAAAAAGCAAACAACCTTCTATTTGTTGAGCATCATTGGATGCTTCAAAAATAGCTCCTGCCTCCTTGTACCAGCTTCATAGACACTCAGAATCTAAGAGTCAGGAAGAAGTGGGGAAGTAATTGAGTCTCTACTGAACACAGAAATCCTGACACAGTGTTCCTGAAAAATTGTCCACATCTTGCCTCATAGGAGAGAATGTAGTTTGTATATATTCCAAAACAGGAGATATTAGACTGAAGTAAATTCCAGTTCTAGCTCACTTAATAACCATGTGACCTTGATCAAATAGTTAAACCTCCTACTTCCTAATTTCCTCTTCTGTAAAATGTGAATAGTAATAGCACACTATTCATTGGGTCAAATAAGTAGTTAAGTTAAATAAAACATCAAATGCATTTAACACACTGGCTAGTGCATTGTGAATGCTAAAAAAGTCTTGGTAATTATTTTTTAGTAAGTGCTCTATGAATGGTTGTTATACAACCCCTGCTATGAACAAACGTGCTTGACATTTGAATGAAAAAAAAAAAATAAGTTTTCTGTTTACCTGATGAAATAAACTGGATTTTATCAAGTCATGATGGTGTGGGGAATAAACATGAGCTCCTTTGCACCAGAGAGAAACAAACAAGGTTTGAAAGCTTTTCTTGTGTTAGATTTGTTGATGGAGGTGTTACACTGAATCTGCATCTGGGTTTTAGAATCCTGGGCAGTCATTCCTTTAAGAAAATAGACTCTTAAGCATTTATTACTATTAAGTCCAACCAAGAGAGTTGGAGTTTTCCCATCTGGCAATTATTGAGGGGCCTAAGGTTTTAAGAGAAAAAGGAAATAAAATATGAGAAATTACTGGGATGGACCTCACAGACTTTTATTCCAGCTTTTACTTTTATATAAAGCAAGTCAATTTACTTCTGTCTGACCTTCTTGTTGAATGATGAACTAGTAAGGGGAATTTCTCTCTAAATGCCAAGTTAGTCAGATCCATCGGTTTTGTGATTAGGAATAGTCATCCAAAGAGGAGAGCCCTTGTGAGGTTGTTGCCCAGTGGATAATTATCTTACTGAGAAAGGCATGTGGGTCATAGAACTGATGTTTCTGGATTGAGAAATGCTTCCTGTCATTTTTTTCCCCCACTTCCTTTCTCTAAGCCAAGAATGGCAAATATGTGTTAATGCTGCTGCTGAGTTCCCTCCCAGACCCAAGAGGACGTTGGCACTCCATCATAACCGTTTTTTGGGGTGGAACCTGGATTAGTTTAAGAATTCTTTTGTGCGCAGATTTTCAGGAAGCCAGTACCAATCAGTTGTCATTGGCGTGAAGCTTGAAACTATTTGCCACCTCTAAGTTAGGCCAACTGAATTGGCACGCCTCTGGTTTCTGTGCTTGCAGCTTTCCTTAATGGGTTTTATTGTGCACGAACTTTGTATAGCTCTATAACGGTATACTTACATGGTTTTAGCATCTGTCAGCCTGACCCAAAAAGGAGGAGATGCCAAGACCCACCGTGAGCCTCTCATTAGAAAGCTTTTGGCTTCAGGTTTTGACACTTGAGTGACTCTTTATGTGAACAGTGTTATCATAACCTGCCAAATTCTTGACTCTATAAATTGGCCTTTAACAGCTTGTTAGGAATTCCAACTACTGTATTCTAGCACCAGCTACAGCATATGCAGAGCCTCTGCAATTCCACAAAATACGACTAAGCCAAATAATGGCCCAGTTCACATCTTTTTCTTTTTTTTTTTTTTTTACATTAAAGTTACTTTACATTCAGTTGAGTCAGAAGTATGTTTTATTCTACTCTCTACCTTTAATCCTCTAGTAAGTTTTGTTCTGCTCACCAGGATTCAGATTCTTACCCATAATGCAGTAGTCTGTTAAATTTTTTCTCTTAGCTGTGTTCTCAGAGCAGTTATAACAGCTCAGTCCCTTATTATTTATTGACTTTTTTTTATCATTGTCTTCTCGGCCTTAGGTTCAACATGCCTCATGATGACAACAATAAGTGCAAAGAAGAAGGAATCAAGAGCCCCCAGCACGTCATGGCCCCAACATTGAACTTCAACACCAACCCCTGGATGTGGTCAAAGTGCAGTCGAAAATATATCACTGAATTTTTAGAGTAAGACTCGAACTTTGAGTACAGCCTTCATGCTAGTATCTGGCCTACATGCAGTGAACTCATTGTGGGAAAGAAAACGTAGAGTCAAGCATTCCTTTTGAGTTGTTATTTTTGTTGACATTCCTGGGAGGAGGGAAAAGAAAAATACTCTCTGACATCTGTGTAGTTCATGTCCTCGCCAGCACCCGGAAGATTGCAGACTGAGCTGAAGAAAATGTTGAGATCTTAAAGAGAATATGTAAATGTTGCTTCATTCTTGGTAAAGCTATAAAATCTGTTCAGGTCTTGGGGAAGAGACCATGAATGTGATAACATGAGGAAGGAAGGCAAATATTTACGTGCTTCTAAGTTAGTAATTTGGGGTTGGAAAGAGATAGGGAAGTGAGACATCCCCAAAGAACATTACAGGATGCATGAAAGTTGCACAGACCTCCATGTTGTTGAATTTAAAACATCCTCTCTCTGTCTCTCTTTATCTCCTTCCCTCATTCTCCTTCTTTTTTGCTTTTAAAGTTTCCCACCAGGATGCTCAAGGATCCAATTACTTTATACAATATTCTTGTGTCACAGATTTATTGCTCTTCTCTCCCAGATGTACAGAAGGTTAAGTGATTATCCCAAGGTCACTGGGTGTATATTTCCCCAACCACAGGGAAGAGGGGGCTTGTTAATCAGAACTCACCGGGTGTGAATTTTCCAGAAGATGTGTTTGCAGAAACATGGAAGAACTGGCAGGTTGCTGGGGTTTTTGTTTTTTGTTTTTTTTTTTTTTAACCAGATGATCTAAAGCATTTCTGACTATAGTCATTGATTCACTTACCCATTCAATCAGCAAATATTTACTAAACACTGATTGCTATGGACAGGATCCCATATTTGGGTGAAAAACAAACTTTTTTCACCCAAAACAAGCTTTTTACCCCTAAGAAGCTTATACTCTATTGGAAAAGATGACAAAAAATAAACATTTCAGAGTAATTGCCCTGAAATGTGATAAAGGCTGAAGCAGGTATACATTTCCCCCTGGTTGTATACATGGAGAGGGAAATGGCAACTTACTCCAGTATTCTTGCCTGGAGAGTCTCATGGACTGACGAGCCTGGGGAACTACAGTCCATGAGGTCACAGAATCGGACACAACTGAAGTGACTGAGCATGCATTCATACATGCATGTTGTATGTGTAGCCAGTGGTTCCACAAACAAGTATACACCAAAAAGTAGAACTTCAGCTTCTGTACTCAAATTTGGATGAAAAGAATAGAACAAAAACAAAACAACAAAAGAACAACCTTTGCTGTCATTAAAATGACAGAATGACATTCACTGTCTTTTGGAGACTTTTGACAGTCACATCTTATCCACTGCCCTTACCACCTGTATTTTTCTGCTTCCCACAGCACTGGTTACGGCGAATGTTTGCTTAACGAACCTGAATATAGACCCTATCCTTTGCCTCATCAACTGCCAGGCCTCCTCTACAACGTGAATAAACAATGTGAATTGATTTTTGGACCAGGTTCTCAGGTGTGCCCATATATGGTAAGTGTCTGGGGTCTCTGTCTACCCTCAAAACTGGATTGTGAACTTTTTTTTATTGATAGTTTTCCATTGGATTCTCATGCTAACATATACCACTCATTGAGTGGTCCATTAGCTATCAAGGATAATAGTAATAATGATGATGGGGATAAACAGTAATAGTTGTCAGTGCTGGACGTTTCCTGCACTTTGTCAGTTCACTCTCAGCCCAAAAGGAAGATACCATTATGGTTTTTATTTTATAAGTGGGTAAGTGAGACTCAGGGGGGACAAAGTAACAGAGCTGGTAATGACAGAGCTCAGCCTTTTTCTCTCTGTGTCTCCTTTTCTTCCCACCAGCTTGTCCAGAAGACTTTTATTATAGGGACTCTTGTAGATTCAGTAACTCATGAGACAAAACTGTTTCCCTGTTGTAGCTCATCAATACCATGTCCTATGACTGCCTGGGGCTTGAAATCACTTCTGGTGATAGCTCAACTGGCAAGTGTGTGATTCTTTGATGTATGTGTTATGAACATTTGGACCAATGATATGATCCAGTGGTTAACAAGAAGCTTAGCAGAACTGTTCTATGGGATGCCCCATTCTATTCCTTTGGGCGTTTGTTTTTCTGGGAGAGGTTCAGAGATAGCTGGTGAACAGTGGTTCCATGGAAATAACAAAATATTTTGTGTAAAGTGTATCCATGATTATATTCATTTCTCTGTTCACAATAGCAAACATTAGGCATGACCTTCAAGCACAAGAATAGAAAGGTTGTGTGCTTGCTCAATTGCCCAGTCACGTCCGACTCTTTGTGACCCTGTGGACTGTGAACCCACCAGGCTCCTCTGTCCTTGAATATCTCAGGCAAGAATACTGGAATGGTCTGACATTTCCTCCTCCAGGGCATCTTCCCAACCCAGGGACTGAACCTGAGCCTCTTGCGTCTCCTGCGCTGACAGGCGGATTCTTGACCACTGCACCATCTCCATTTAATGCAATATTATTATACAAAAATTGAAAAGTGACTGTACATGGGAACATGCTCCAGCTATAGTTTTAAATTAAAATACCAGGATAAAGAATTATTTTACTGAGTATTTTCTCAGTGTAAAAGCGGGTGAAGAGCTTCAGAAAAGACTGGGTCATTTAAAACTTTTTGTTCTATTAAAAAAAAAATAGTACCTTCTGAATTTTTCTATTGTGAGTATGGTTTATTCTCGTCATTATGGGAACAATTATCTTTTTGGCTAAGGACATTTGTGTCCCTGGGGCTAGTGACATGATACCTGGGCAGGCTCTCACTGCAGCTCTTCACCTCTGAGCCAGGCTCCTTCCTGCTGGGTGCTCCTGATGTTCCCAGCTCCTACACAGATGCCCTGCTCCTTCCTGCCCTGCGTCTTCTCCCTTTGGGTAGGACATGATACCTGTGTGTGTGCTCAGTCACTCAGTTGTATCTGACTCTTTGCAACTCCACGATGCCTACCATTCAGTTAAGCCTTCTTTCTGTCCTCTCTCTATTGTCCACATTTCCAAAGAAGAGAGTGAAGTACTTTGAAGTCTGTACTTGAAAACAGTCTGAAGGCATTTTCTCATTAGATTTTGGTTTTCTCCCCTTGTCCCCAGGTGAAGCACTGGGATTCTTCCATGTGGAAACCCACAGCCTGAAAAGCTCACCTGGTCAGCTCCAGTGTGTGTAGGAGACCCTAGGCCTCCGCAGTGTATTTGAAGTCCAACTCCTTGGCTTCCTACCTTGCTTTGGAGTTGAGTTTTGCTCTTCCATGTTTTGCGTGTATCTTGTTCACTGTCGTCAAAGTTGTGCTTCACTTCACTGTGGTAGAGCAGAGAGTACATTCTTATTTGCTACGTTTATATGTATCTTGAAGCTAAATGTATATATGAGTAGTTTGCCTTGAGATTACACAGTGTGAACAGAGTAGACACCCAGAAATTGTGGTTTCTGTGTTCTTTCCATTTGAGTATTTTGTAATTTCTTTGAAATATTTGTGGCATAAATAAAGACAAGCTACACTACAAGAAAAAAAAATAGTATGGCCTGAAATAGAGCTAAATATATCAACTTGGATAACTCTAAAAATCACAGTGCATAGAGGAAGCAAATAGCAGATTGTAGGATGCATCTGTATGTTCTGAAGTATCGAATAGCATTGTTTTGTTTAAAGCCAAGGTACTGTGCATTATCGGTAGATATTTAAACATGTGTAGTATAAGCAATAGGCTTCCCAGGTGGCTCAGCAGTGAAAAATCTACCTACCAGTGCAGGAAATATGGGTTTGGTCCCTCAATCAGGAGATCCCCTAGAGGAGAAAATGGCAGCCTACTCCACTGTTCTTGCCTGGAAAATCCCATGGACAGGGAAGCCTGGCAGGCCACAGTCCATGGTGTCGCAGAGAGTCAGACATGACTGAGCACATGTACACACACGGTAAAAGTAGTGGGGATGGTAAGATAGTGAGCATCACTAGAACAGTGGTTATGTGGAGAAAGAGAAGGGATTGGGATTGAGAATGAATGTGCAAGGCTCGGCCCATGAAGTCTTCTTTCTAATTTGGGAGGTGGACATATGGGTATCCATTATGTTATTGTTCATATTTTTTATATGCCTGAAATATTACTGATATTTTGTCCCTTCTTTTCTTCTGACAACCCCTGAAACCTCTAGAAAAGAGCCATATGTATGGCTTAGTAGGAAAAATACCAGTTTTAACATCAAGTCAAACCAAAACTAATCACAACAGAAATCAAAACCCACTCTCCAGTCATAGCTCATTGCAAACCTAAACTCACATCATACATTTCCATTGTGACACTGACTATGTTCTGCCAGCCTCAGTTTCCTCATCTGTAATTTGGGGAGATGTTACCAGGATCAAATGGCATCTTGTATGTTCCTGTTGCACAGTGGTTCCCCTTTGACATCCCTGCAAACCCTACCAGACATAGAAGTGTGTCTCCTGGGCTGCCCTCTGTATCCATTGGAATATTTTATCATTTATCAGACCAAGAGAAAAAAAACCCTTTCTAACCTATACTGTGCGTCACTGGCAGAACGACTGTTGGAAGCAACCTTGCCTTGCTTGCTGTCACTAATGCACATTGTCACTGAATTGCCTTCAACTGAATTGCGCAGATGCAGTGCAGACGGCTCTGGTGCAATAACGTGGATGGGGCGCACAAAGGCTGCCGGACTCAGCACACACCCTGGGCTGACGGAACCGAGTGTGAAGAGCCTGGAAAGGCAAGTAACACCCCAATCTGTCCTTCTGTCTTGGGGCAGTTGTGGGCAAGATCTGGGCTGTAGGCTCAGTCACCATTGTTGAGAACATAAGTTAATGCAGTGTGTTTCAGCATGCGTAATACTTTTTTGAGGTAGGAGGTTCAACTTTGCTCTTGAAAATTGTGCAAACTTACCTTACAGCCTAATACTGGCATGAGGGACATAGCTATCATTATTTCCTCAATTCCTTAGACATATTTTTCTGATTCTTAATGTTTTTTAAATTCCAATGTTTTTTTCAATTTATGGGAACATTTAATGTGAGGTAGCATATCTTTTCTCTCTCTCTCTGTTAGAGTGGCAGTGGAAAAGGCTGTTATTAAGTTGGTGGAATATCTTAAAATCAAGAAAATACAGAAAGACTTACTGTGTTCACTACTTGGCTATTAGGCTTTTCCCAGCCAGTGCTGATCACTTAATGGAGCTGTGATATCACCTGGGTTATTTGCAAATCCAAATTCGGAGTTGGTTATAATAGTTCCCATTTATTTGTTAGTAACCAAACAAAATCTGCTTCTTGTATAGCCTAGTGATAACAATGTCCCAGCAACTACAAGTATTACTATTGTAACATTTTGCACCTGGTGTCTGTCTTTTAAGAAAAAAAAAAGGGGGGGGTAATATGTTAAAGATTTACTTACCAAAAGTTTTAGATGTGAACCTGATTTTTAAATTCATGAAGAAAATGGTATTCTGTCACTTACCTGTGATGCAATCCCTGTACTATATCTGAGTCTCATGTCATCCGTAAGTTTTTTCCTTTCTCCTCACTTCTCTCATCGTCCACTTTACTTACATTTATTATTTTGTTCTCATCTGATTTTCTCTTTTTCCACTTTAGGAATCAGTAGCTCCCAGTGTTTTCATGGAAACAGGTGGTCCTCAGAGATGAGGAACTTACCTATCCCATCCCTGATTTTATAGATAGGGAACACAAAGGAGAAATGACCAGTTCAGTTCAGTTCAGTCGCTCAATCGTGTTCAACTCTTTGCAACCCCATGGACTGCAGCACGCCAGGTTTCCCTGTCCATCACCAATATTCAGGACTGGTTTCCTTTAGGACTGACAGGCTTGATCTCCTTGTAGTCCAAGGGAATCTTAAGAGTCTGTAGTCCAAGGGAATCTTCAGAGTTTGCCAAGGTCATTCAGCCTCACTCAGGGTGGAGTCCTCACACACCCCCGTCCCTCCCTCTCTTTCTCTTTGCTTTCTGTGTCTGAAGGGGCTGCAGGCTCTGCAGCTGCAGGCTGTGGCCATAACTCAAGCTCACTGGGCTCTTGAAGTTTCTGTGGTCAAACAGGAGAACTAGTAGCTTTCCACTCATTTCTCAGAGTGATTTCAGTTTTTTAAATTTTATTAGAGTGCTTTTATAAACTTACAATGAAGATGATTTTGTACTTGACCTAGCTTGGTTACTCTGTCAGTTCTGGTCTCACTTCTTTACGGCTAGGACCTCAGCATTTGAGAATACAGCTTTCTCCAAGAGCAGCCTAACAAAACTGTGTAAGGACATAAGCATATCAACTTTAGCACTGCCTCTTTCACTCACTTAGAAAGAACTATATCTACTTGGTCAGAGTGAACCTTTCACTTTTTGCAAAACATTTAACTCTGTGTTGATGGCCAGAGAATCTTAGGTTTGAGTGGAAATACGGTTCCCAGGTTTCCACGTCAGCCATCAAAATTCATTCGTTCTTCCTCAGTGAAGATGTAGCTTCAGAGTCCTTCTCTACATAGTCACCCATACAACTGCTATCAGTTGCTGGGAGATGACAGTAGACATGGTTGACAGCTTAGTTAGTTGATCTGAGTTGGAACCAGCCAACTATTCATTTAAATTGATTCTGTTTAAGCTCAAAGATAGCACTTGTATTGTGTCATGGTTCTTAGTCAATCTGATATACCCACCTATTTGTCTAAATCTGATACATATTACTGATGGAAAAACCTTAACAAAGAAGAACTCTCAATCATATGATGAAATGAATTGTATTTAGTAAAATAGTCATGTACAAGCTACCAAGCTCCATGTAGTACTTGGGAAGATGTCTGTTGTGTCTTTTTCTAATCTTCTGTTTTTATAACAGAAGATAAAAGATTATAGTATAATCTCATACCTGATAAATGGGGTGTTTGAGGAGATCTTTGAAAAAAACATTTACCTTGTTGCGTTTGTTCAGCTAAAGCAAGAGACTTCAAGGAATTCCAAAGGGCAGACTCGGAACACTTTGAGGGAAGCAGCTATGCAGAGAACATGATGGGTACATTTTTAGTTTGTTTTAGTAAAGTGGCTAAGTCTAGTAGCTTATATTAAAGACATGGCTGTTGGTATGTTTATTTCCCAGAAGAACATTTATTCATTTTACAAATAAGATGGTGAATATGTTTGCACAAATGTTCTGTGTTTCTCTATTCTGTTTTGTTTTCACTGAATTGGCAGTAAAACCTTATCCTTTTCTCTAGCAAATTCTAACTCCCTTTGCTGCTAGGTTAAATTTTTTTTCTTTCTCTTCTCTCTGCCCTGCTCCCTCAGCAGTAATCTGTCTTGGACTGCTGACACAATGTTATTTTGATGAATGGTTCTCTCATGTCCCTTTATTTTTTCCATTCTTTTGTTAAATCCATTAACATTTTCATTTTAACCCTGTTTGTAAATCTGAGGTTTGAAACTCTTGTATTTTAAGCTTCTTTGGGACAAAATTGACCTCCAAGTCCTTCTTCCAGTCTCTTTAGAAAAACATTTATGTAAAATATCATTTAAATGATTCTGGGTGCTTTTAGGAAAGGCCGATTATATTTTGGCTCCAGCTCCACCAGTTGCTTAATGCTTTGTTATGATGTAATGGTTTTTCTGGTATATAATTATCGTTTGTTTAGTTTCCTGGTAAAATAGATTAACTTGATGCATATTTGCCAAACAGTCCCCATTTCCAGCCTCTTTCACGTCAGGTTCTTCCCTCTTCCTCTGAGGTTCTCCCTTCCCTTTGAACCCCCATCAGTGGTCATATCAGCAAGAAATATTTAAGTTGCAGATGAGTTTTTATTTAGGTTTTCTTTTAAGAAGTGACCCTATAAGGACATTTTAATCCATTGCTAACTAACCTATGCCTTTACTCTTTTATGGTTTATGGTAATACTTAATGAGAATTATGGTTACTTTGAAGAATATTGTTCTTGTGTGGAAGTAGAGTCTATAGAATAGAGAGGTCAGCAGACTAAAGACTGAAGTGTTGTGAGGAAAAAATATATTTCCAGAGAACTTCTCATTATAGGAGTCTATGACTAGCCATAGGAATGTTCTCTTTAGTTTGTAGAATTTATAAAATGTGTATCTGATATCAAGATTTGAGGGATGAATTTGGGCGTCGGCTGTAACCTCAATTGTATATTAATTAAGTATTTTGTTCAGGTCATACTGAATTATAGTAGTGTAAGAAAATTGGCTTTTTTTCTGACACACACATACACAAAAACTAGTCAGATGTAGGCAGGTCGTGGAGCTGCCATGGTAGGTGTACAAAATAAGAGACACAGGCTCCTAATTGCTTTCTGTTCTACTATCATATTCAAATGGCCATCATCCTCAGGGTCACAAAATGGCTGCTATAGCTCCAGCCATTGACTCTGAGTCCCAGGCAGAATGAAACCAAAGGACAAGGTGCAAAGAGGCAAAAGGACCTTCCCAGGAATCTTATCCAATGAATTCTGCTAACATTTCTTTGACCATTTCTACCTATACAAGAATCCAGGGAAATATAGATTGTTAAGAAGGACAAAGAACAGAATGATATTGGGTAGACACCTCAGAGTGTCAGCCTCACATCACCATCTCATTAGTCTTGCTTTTAAATCTCAGTCTATTTAAGATATCAAAAATTGTTCACATTTGCTAACAGTAGAAGGACAGCATGTATCACAGTTAAGAGTATGCACTCTGGAGCCAGATTGTCTGTGTTTCAGTATCAGCTCAGCTCCTTAACAGATGTTTGACATCAACCCCCCTGTGCCTCCATTTTCTTTTCTGTAAAAATGGGGGTAACAGCAATACCTATTTCATAGTATGTTATGAGGATTAAGTAAGTTAATACATACATAATACTTAGAAGAGTGCCTGGCAACTATTAAGTGCTATTAAATGTAAATATTTGCTCTTATTATTACAAACCTTTTTCAAATTGGATCTCCTCTGTCCTCAACTATGTGTTAGGTGCTTTCCACACATTGTCTCATGTTAAACTCAAAACAACTTTGGCAAGTAGGTTCTCATTTTTCAGGTATGGAATTAGAGTTCAGTGACTCATCCGAGGTCACAATTAATTTGTAGAATGGCCACTCCATACTACCAGACCATTTGCCTGCTAAGCTATGTCCCCTTGTCCCTTAAAATCTGCTCTGTCCAATAGGGCAGCCACTAGCCACATGTGATTAGCGAGCATTTGAAATGTCATTCTGAACTGAAATGTGCTAAAATGAGAATACATACCACATGTTAAAGACCTAGCATGAAAAAAAGTGTGGGAAGAAAACCTTAGTTATAATTTTATGTTGATTATATGGAAAAATAATAATGTCTTAGATATTTTGAGCTAAGTAAAAGATATTAAAATTAATTTCAGTGTTCTTTTTACTTGTTTTAATGTGGCTGCTAGAATTTCTTAAATTATATGTGTGGCACATGTTATATTATTAGATAGTGATGCTGTACACCAGGCTGCCTCTCTCATTGATTTTTTAAATTATTTATTTTTAATTGAGGGATATTTGCTTTACAGTATTGCATTGGTTTCTACCAAACATCAACATGAATCAGCCATAGGTTTACCCATGTCCCCTCCCACTTGTCTCACTGATTTTTTTTTCCTTTATTTTTATTAGTTGGAGGCTAATTACTTTACAATATTGTAGTGGGTTTTGTCATACATTGACATGAATCAGCCATGGATTTACATGTATTCCCCATCCCGATCCCCCCTCCCACCTCCCTCTCTACCCGATCCCTCTGGTGTCTCACTGATTTTTATGTGCATAGATTCCAAGGACTGTTCAAGATTGCTGTAAAGACAACTGTAAAATAATTTGGGGGAGTGATGTGGTCACTGCTGCCTCTGCCCACATTTCTCGGGTACAGAGTTATCCAGGAGTCTTTGGATGCCGAACCTTTTAAGCATCAGCCAAACAGCCCAGAGAGAGGAATGTGGTCCCAGTTACTCAAGAGGATAATTATAAGGAAAAAGGCATAAGGGAAGAGTAGAGAAAGCCTAACTGTGCTCTTTTAAACAGTTGTTCGCCAGGCTTTTGCCAGGACTGGCCGCTGACTGGGGCTTCACCAGTCTCTTATCTGTCCCCTTTCCCCGCGCACTCCCCCACCGCCTGACTCTGCTTCCACCCTGAGTCCTCCCTGCAGATAAAGCACAGTGGCCACCACCAGCCCCGCTTCAGGGATCTGAGCAAGCGGCGGGGCGCCACTCTCCTGCTGCCCCTCTTCCTTTGTGCATTGCTCAGTGACCTCAGCTTCTTGTCAGGGCCTCACACCCCAACAATGGCAGAGGGTTGGAATGGGCTTCTCCACTCCCTTGTCCTGCTGGGGAGTTTTACTTTGTTTTGCTTTAAAGCATCAAGGCCCTCTTCCTGCTCCAGGCTGAAGAATATGAAACCATTAGTAACCCAAAAGTAATAAAGTTTAGGGCTCCCTGTAATGTGTCCATTTTTGCTTTAGTCTCATCATCTGCTAGAGTGAGTTTATAGGAATCATGTAACTAGCTTTTTTCCCCCCTCTCCCATTTAATTAAAATGGAGTTTTCAAATCCATGAGGAACTGTAAAGCATTATATTTTACCAGACTCACAACATCTCTAGGCCTTGTTAATGGAGATGCACTATGCAAATCCAATAACTCATTTCAACCCTGTCTACAACCAGTAGACAGCCCATTTCCACGCCTCATTTTTCCAAGTAGACTAATTGAGTGCTTAAAGGCTGGCCATTGGACTTTCCCTGACAGCCTGAATCCAGCCACTCATTGGCCAGTTTTATTCAAGCCAGTTGTAAATGAAGACACAGCCTAAAATCACTAAGAGGTTAAAGTCCCTACCGTTTCCATTACTCACAGAGATAATTAAATTGCAACATTTCAAACCAGCACGTGGAAAACAATGATAGTACGGTATATTTAAAAGGACAGTGGGTCCTGCAATACCTCAAGCACCGAGCTCTCCCTCACTGTTCCCCTTATTAAATACAGCACTGCAAGTTTGGATTTTGTGTTCCCAAAGAAATGGAGGTCCCTGTGACTGATGGATCCTGGGGAAGTTGGAGTCACTTTGGAACCTGCTCAAGAACATGTGGAGGGGGCATCAAAACAGCCATTCGAGAGTGCAACAGACCAGAGTAAGTCCTTGAGCTCATCGCTCTTCCTACTGGGGTGGCAGGGGTGGAGAATTCCTAGAGGAAGTCATTTAAATGGAGGCAAGTGAAGAGCTCTTTCCAAATTATAAAGTGGGTGGACTTCTAGGACTTCCCAGACCCATGGTATCTATGCTCTATCCCTCTGTGTTATTTTCCTCCTGTGACCCTTTATGTTAAAAACTTTATCTGTTAAATGGTAGATGCTCTGTGTTGCTTTGACATTAGGGAATGTCTCACTGCCCCCCCCCCAACCCCCACCAAGAATTGGGGTAGCATGTTAATAAAGCGAACAAGTGAATGTTCATTAGGAAACAAAGAAATTGGACATTTCCATGCAGATTGTAGATAAATGTTAACATTCTGCTTAGCAACTGAAATGCTAAAAAAGCACACAGACCCCCAAGGTGGCATTAGTGAACCCCAAGGGACCTGGAAGCCCAAGTCAGGATTTACTTTTGAATCAAACTATTTTTTCCCTGACTCCTGAGGTCCCATCCAACAACCGCTTTTCAGGATGATTCTCAGCAAGTGACCATAGTCGTCTCCACCAGCCAAACCTTGTTGAAACTTACATGTTCAAATAAAGTCCACAGGATTTTCCCCCAGCATCTCATTATGATAGACGTGTGTTTGGGGAGAGGCTATTTATAAGCGGATTTTAAAAGTTGCTATCTTCATTATAAGAAGTGATATCAAATTTTGTATGGTTCTAAGATGTATAAAGTTTAAAGGAACAGAAAATTATACATGCTATTATTACCATCAAAGCTATATAGCCCAAGAGGTCTTCCCAGATTAGTTTTTAGATATGCAGACTCACAGCCATCTTTAAGAACCAGCTGCTTTGGAATTATGCAAAACGGTTTGACTCAGCAGTACTCTTTAATTTTTAACAGTCTGTATTAGGGATAACAGACTGGATAGGAGAGAGAAGCAAGCAGGTTGAGGAGCAAAGTGGACTAGTGCAGTAGGCTAGGTTTTACTGCAGAGTCTAACCCTGAAGTCCTAAAATAGTAATGGCTACTCAGGCCAGCTGATTCTCCCTGAGTAGGAAAAGGGCCTCCTGTTGACAGAGGTGCCATTTTTTAATAATGAAAATCTGAATTGTTACACAAAAAAGAATATAGCTTTAGCCTGTCGTTGCAAGCCCTGGTCACATAAACACTCTGTATAGTTCAAATCACAGATGGCGATTAATTTATTTTAATTTATCTTTGTTCACAGTCCAAGATTATTTCATATCCACATAATATAAATGTTTAAGAACAAGTAAAAAGCTATAAGATATAGACTCTGATCTGTAAAACTGACCCTGTAGCTATGTATATAAACTAATACACATTAGATTTTCCCATAAAGTCTGTGTTTAGTATTAGTTTTTAAAATAATGATGTAGAGAATGGACATACATATATGTATGGCTGAGTCCCTCTGCTGTTCACCTGAAACTGTCACAATATTGTTAATCAGTGATACCTCAATGCAAAATTAAAAGTTAAAAAAATAATGTAAATATAGTAGGTATTTTCAAAAAATTCAGATATAAAAACGTATGATATAAAAACTTACTGTCATTATTATTCCTACTCCCCTACTCCCCACAAGAAATAACCACTAAAAAATAATTTGTGCATTATTCCAGACTTCAAAAGAGATTATAGATCTAATATGTATTGCATGAAATAAGTATCACATAACAAAGTATGGGTCATCCTATATATATTGTTCCACAACTTGCTTGTTAAAATGGATTGGTTACATAATCTGAGCTGCTTATATTGTTGAAGTTTTAAAACAGAACACTTTAAGCTAGCAGCAAATATGATGAATTTTTTTAAAACTTAAAACTTTTGGCTACATTGAACCAAAATTGTTCCTATTATGTTGTTGCTGTTGTTATTTAGACACTGAGTCATTTCTGACTCCTTTGTAACCCCATGGACTGTAGCCCACCAGGCTTCTCTGTCCATGAGGATTTTCCAGGCAAGAATACTGGAGTGGGTTGCCATTACCTTCTCCAGGTGATCTTCCTGACCCAGGAATTGAACCTGCATCTCCTGCTTTGGCAGGCGGATCCTTTACCACTGAGCCACCACGGAAGCCCTGTTACTATCATAGTAAGCTATTATTATCATGGGGATGTGGATATTGCAAACAGTAGGTACTTTTAACATTTTGACTCAAGAATATTCCATTCAAAAGAAGTGGGTTTTTGTTTTTGTGTGTGTTTGTTTTGTTTTAATAGTGTTAGAGCAATTCTTAAAGTAGTATGGAAAGAGATAAATTATACCATAACTGGAATGGGCCAGACAAAGAAAAGCACCCAGTGTAAAGATCTCAGCAGGAAAAGATCTTGAGCTTCAAAGCAGAGATACTCGCCTTTAGAAGTTAGGAACCGATCATTAAAGACTTCAGTTAGATGTCCTTGTCCTGGATGTTTGCTATGGGAAGTTTTAAAATAATACAATCCACCTTGTTGAGTGTCAGCACTGACATCATTTCATTAAACTCCTCCAAGTTATGTGCACTTTGGAATGTCCCTGTGAACTACTAAGGAAGGAGTCTGCCTCTCGTAACTGAGATTACGATGTCGCTGGGGAAGTCAGCTAGACAAGAGAGAGGGACACTGAAAAGAGAAAAACAGGTCCAAATCAGTTTAAAAGCTTGTTCAGAGAAATTAGCAGAGCAGATGGTTCATTATGTAGAATGTGCCAGTGATTGCTGTCCTGATTCTCAAGAAGTTTGAAAGAACGGAACCCCTGGCTCCCACGTTGGCTGGCAAAATGCTCTTCTCAGTTTCAGAAGCCCTTAGAATATAATAAGGAGCTCCATTTTTAGAATCCATGGTAGGCCTCTATCAAGAACACTGGATTGTTCTTTTGTTTTCACTGTATTCATGGGATTCAATAATTATTTAGTATCTGGATACTTTAAGCTATGTATTTTTTTCTTTAAATATAGAGAAGCTAAAAAAGGGAAGCAGCCTTGCCATGTGCATGGGATTATGCTATACTCGAAGAACAAACTTTAGAAAGCATATCCTCTCTAATTTTATATCCCCAAAATGTTTTTGGTCCCAGTTGGTACACCATCATGACAGTGGAGCCCTAATGTTTTATCTTTAAATGCTTTACTTTTTTATCCCATTTTTTATTTATGTCCTACATATAAGATAAGCGTATGTTTTGGATTGTAAGGACGGTTCCCATTTACATCTGTTATCCTGGAGAAGTTATCGATAGCTCTCCTTTCAATTCTCAAAATGTCCTGAATTAAACAATTACATGGTCACCTGATCTATAAGAAACATTTCATAGGATGAAATCTAAAATCAGAACCACCAAAACCAGAATTTGGGGTCCCAGAACAAGAAAAAGCTTTAGATATAAAAGATGCATTACCAGGCCATTGGGCCATACACTTATTTTGTCCTCTAAATTTGGCTCTGAGGTTCCCGGTGACTAGAACAAACTGGATTACAGAATTGTTATGGTCTACCAAACTAAAAAAATCATGCAGATTTTTTTTTAAGAAAGGCAAAGTATTTCCTTCTTATGCTTCTGTTTTGCTTTTAAATTGGTAGGTCAAATTAAAGAATAAGCTCATAGATTTGAGAAAAAGACAAGATTGTAAACTATACTATGTATTTCCCATTTAGGCTTTGACTCTAGCTACTGCTTATGAAATCGTCCATAAATAGAAAAATAAACATATGTACATTTCACCTAAGGAAATCAGTCCCTCATTTGACTGAAGTTTTTGGCTTCCTCATTTGGAAGTTTTTTTGAGGTATTGAGTTGGATGAATTTACAGATGGTCCCCAATCTATGTTGGTTAGACTTAAGGTTTCTCTACAATGGTGCAACAGCAATACGCTAGGATTCCCAGGTGGCTCAGTGGTAAAGAATCCACCTGCTAATGCAGGAGACACAGGAGATGAGAGTTCGATCCCTGAGTTGGGAAGATCCCCTGGAGAAGGAAGTGGCAACCCACTCCAGTGTTCTTGCCTGGAAAATCCCATGACAGAAGAGCCTGGCGGGTCACAAAGAGTTGGACGTGACTTAGCATTTGAGCAGGAGCACATGCAGAAGAGAAAAACTGCTTCAGATTTTGAATTTTGATCTTTTGTCAGGCTGCTAATATGCAGTATGATGCTCAGATAATGCTGGGCAGCAGCATCCACTGTACCTCGCAGTCAGCCATGCAATCCTAAGGGTAAATAACTAATATGCTTCTAACCATTCTGTACCTAGATAACTATTCTATCGTTTACTTTCAGTATAGCATTGAATACATTATGAGACAGTCAATACTTTATTATAAAATAAGCTTTCTGTGTGATGATTTTGCTCAACTGTAGGCTAACAGAAGCGTTCTGAGCATATTAAAGGCAGGCTCTTCAGTAAGTTGTGTATTAAATGCACTTTCAACTTTTAAGATATTTTCAAATTACAATGAGTTTAATCAGGACATAACCCCATGATAAGTCTAGAAAGATCTATCTTTTGAAATACTGAGAATTGGCTGCTGTGGGAAAGCCATTAACTAATGAATGTATAGAGGTCCAGTCCCACAGACTATTCCATTTGACAAAGTTGTTAATGATCGCTAGTATGGCTCCTTGGTCCATCCCATCTAACCCTTGAATAGCCTTTCAGCATTCCTCATAATTGGTCATTAGACCCCTTCTTAAAACCTTCCAGATATAGAAAACACACTTACCTTCTCAGGCTGCCTGTTGTATCATTAGAAATTTCTTCCTAGTGCTAACCCTAGTTTGTTGTAAGTAAACATAAATGTTGAGGTTTTTGTTCAAACCCATTTGCAGACCAAAGTTTAACTTTCCGTATAGGTAGAATACACCTACAATGATCTTTGCAAAATTCTCCCAGAGCTTTGGCCATGCAGCATTGTGTGTTTTCTTTGTATATATGATTCAACTTGCCTGTGCTGAATACAGTTACTTTCATAGTAATTAATCAGCAATTTCCGTAAGTTCTTTCTATCCCTATTTGAGAAATAATATTTTAATAGTATCTTAATAGTTGGAAAATATGACATACTATTTCTAAAGTTACATTTCCTATAATTTTCAGTATTTGCCTATGGGGGAATAAAACTCCCACTCAGCTAAATTATTAAATTAAAACACGAATTTTTCCATGAAATTTAGTTGTCTAAAGCCCTCCCCATCACACAGTCCATGCAGATTCGGTAGAGATCCTATTGTCTAGGATATTTTTTAAAAGCTATATATTTTAAAGGGTGAATTTATACTCATGCATAAAATACCATTTGCCTTCATACAAAAAGCAAATAAAGTCATAGAATGAGTTTTGAGATGGGAAGAGACCTGTGTCAAGGCTCTGTGGGAGGGAGGCCAGGTCATGGGCTTTGGGTCAGGAAGGCCTGCCTGGTCTCTGTGTGTCTCACTCAGCTGGCATGGGAGCTTGCCAGGTTAGTTAACATCTCTAAACCCAGTTCAAGCAAAGGTTCAGAAACAAGGGTGTCACTACCTACTGCACAGGATGGCTGTGCACAATCAGTGACCTACCTTGGCAGGTGACATTGGTGCCTTGTATGCTAGACCAGCTCAGGGGTCAGCAAACGTTTTCTGTAAAAGGCCAGATAGTGAATATCTTAGATTTGGGGAACATCGGCTGTCTGTCCCTACTATACAACTTTGTGATTTAGTGAGGAACATATGTTGATAATATGTAACATGTGGGTGTAGCTATATCCCAACAGAACTTTCATTTATAGACATGGAAATTTGACTTTCATATACTTTTTATGTGATCCAAAATATTCTTTCTTTTTATTTATTTCTAAAGTATTTTAGACTGTTAAAAACTATTCTTAGCTCACTAACCGTATAAAAACAGACAGTAGGCTGGATTTGGCCCATGGACTGTAGCTACAGACACTTGGAATAGCTTAACAGTTACTGTGTGGGTGGCCATGTTCAAGTGCTTCAGATCTGTTAACCGAAAAACCCTCACTCAGCCCCATGAAGTAGATATTAGCATCATCTCCCTTTTATGGGTAGGGAAACTAAAGCTTAGAGAGATTCAGTGATTTGCCTAAGATTGCACCGTTGTTAAGAAACAGGGCTGGGGTTCAAACCTTCTGTTTTGAGGGTCTGTATATAACCTTCAGCAGTATTGCCTCATACATGAAGTGTTTTTTATGTGTTCTTTCTTTTTTTAAATATCAGTTATAAAAAGAAATTTAAAAATGCTCTTTTGGTACTGGTCAGAGCAAGCAAAGGTGAACAGTGTTACTATGTGAAACAGGAAGCCACCTGCAAATGTTAACTATTTGCTGCTCTTGTTCAATTTCGAGTCAGAAAAGACTTTTTATATAAGAGAACTGGAAGAGAAAAATCAACTGTAAAATAAATTATTTGCAAAAGGGAAGAAATATGAGTTACTTTCAGGCAACAGGTAAATGACCTGATGGATCCCATTGTAGTTAGTTGGAACATTAAAAAAAAAAAATTCCACGAAGTTTGTTTCAATTTGAGAAAAAAATGAAAGGGATCTTCCTTATAAATGGAAAAACAAATTTTACAGCTATATGAGCCTGCTCTGTTATTCATGTGTCATCAGTGATATTTTATGCATGAGACTAGGTTGCTTTGGTACTGAGAGAAAAACTTGGTATCCAGGAAACCAAGACTGTATCTCTACATGGTACCAAAAAAGAAAAAGACAGGACTTGGGGCTGTAGCTGCTGAGTAATGAAACAGAAAGAGCACAGAGGGAGAATCTGGGAAGCTTGAATTTCAGTCTGGTCTCTGCTCTTTTGTTAGCTGTGTTACCTTGGGCAAAGTCCTTAACTTCTCTGAACCCTTGGTATATAAGTACCTCACCTGGCTTTCCCTTGCACAAGATACGTGTGCGTATGGACTAGTCAAGCCTACAAGGCAGATGTAAACCACATGGCTTAATGGAGAAACAGTCATACATAGATGTTGCTGGATTATGTGCTGTTTTGCATCCCTAGATACAGCCTTCATGATAAATGACAATGAATACTTACCATACTCCTTATTGAACTCTTCATTTATAACAAGGCTTTCAGGTGAATGGTATCATCTGTGTTTACTTGGGCAGAACGAAGCTCACAGAGGCCAGGTAGCTCACACAAAGTTGCCCAGCTTGTGACTGCAAAGCCCATGCTCTTAACCTCCCTCTGCACAGTGGAGGGAACATGTTTATAAGAGCATCATGCACAGGAAGCCCTTGCTGAGACTCAGCACTCAGCAATACCAGTGAGACCTGACTCACCTGTACATCATAGCTCAGATGCAGTACTCAAAACAAACTTGATCAGATTGGGTTGGGTTGTGCTGAAATATGACGTCATAGTTGCTAACATTTTTAGGCATCTGCTGTGTGCACTCATTTTAGAGAAGAGGAAAACCGAATCTGTGGGAGGCTGAAACATTGTCTCTAGTCTCAGAGTGAGGCTGGGGCCACGACGGGAAACCAGATCCAACTCTGGAGCCTTACCAGCTCTGCTAGACTGCCCTTGATTCTGTATTTATGGTCATGGATAGAGTTCCCATTTCCCAAGTCCTAGTTTAACAAAAGAAAACAAAGGGGGGAAAAAAACACTTCTTGTTGTCTGAATTACTCTGAAAGATTCACTCTAAAGACAAAAGGTAGAAATCTTTCAGTTTGAGAGGTGCCTTAGAGTAGCTACAGTATCCAGGCTGCTCTAGCTGTGGGTGGGTGAGTCTGATTTCCTCTGATTCTGTGATCTTTCCGTTTCTGTGATGCACTTGGCAAGCTGTTGACCGTTGGGAGATGGGTTATATAATTTACTCTCTGGGTCACATCTGGAAAATCCATGAGCGGGGTTGCATGCTGAGATTAAATTGTTCTGTGGTGCTTTGCAAGGCATCCTCCATACTCTTGTCACACACACGTTAATGAAACCAGTACAGTCTCTCCTGCGTCTCCTATTAAGTTTAGTCAAAATATGAGCACATCCTATTCCATCTTATTTGTAAAACAAAACAAAAAACAATAGTCATGCAGGGAGAGAGAGAGAAAGAGAGAAGAGGGAAAGAAAGAAATGGAAATGGAATGGGGCAAATTTTAGGATGGTCACCCATGAGAATACCATGGTACAGAGGTAGACAGGAACATTCCAAGTACTCATTTGTACCTTTTCTTCTTCTGTGTCATTAAAGGAGTGTGGATGTTCAGGGCATGGAGGATAGAACATGACCTGATAGACCCCAGGTTTTATATTTCAAACTTTTAAGTTAGATGCTCTCTCATTTTATCCTCAAAACTGCCTTACCTTATCAGAATGGTGCTTTCCCATTCTACACATGGAAGGGTTGAGGCTTGCAGACATTCAGTGACTTGCCCAGGGCTAGACATTTACTGATGCTGAAGGCAGAATACAAACCCAGACCCCCAGAGCCCTTGTCCTGGCCACTGTCACTGACCACTTCACATTTGCCTCCCTCCAAGACAGGAAGCCACATTATAACATACAACATTATAATACATTAGAGAAATACAGTATAATACAGTCTGTGTGTTCTTTACCTTTCATCAGGCCCAAAAATGGTGGCAAGTATTGTGTAGGGCGCAGAATGAAATTTAAGTCCTGCAACACAGAGCCGTGTCCCAAGCAGAAGCGAGACTTCCGAGACGAACAGTGTGCTCACTTTGACGGAAAGCATTTCAACATCAACGGTCTACATCCGAATGTGCGCTGGGTCCCAAAGTACAGTGGAAGTAAGTTCATCTGGGGAGGTGCCCACAGCTGCAGGCTGGCACAGGGTCCAGGCACGAAAGTCACGTCTTACGGTGTCTCTCCTATCTAGTTTTGATGAAGGACCGCTGCAAGCTGTTCTGCAGGGTGGCAGGGAGCACAGCCTACTATCAGCTCCGTGACAGAGTGATAGATGGAACACCGTGTGGCCAGGACACCAATGACATCTGTGTCCAAGGCCTGTGCCGGGTGAGTCCCAGATGGTGCGCTCTTCACTATGTTGTCCTGCTGCCAAACGGTGATGTGTAGCTTCCTCGATACAATAGCAGCTGCTTGTGTCTGTGCATTATCTTCAGGGCAGTGGTTCCTAAAGTGAGGTCCTCAGACCAGCTTGAGCACCATCTGATTCTCTTTTTTTTCTTTGTTTTATTTTATTTTATTTTTTAAATTGCAGTGTAATTGATTTATAATGTTATACTAGTTTCAGGTGTACAGTACAGCGATTCAATTATATTTATCTCTCTGTGTGTGTATATATATCCTTTCTTTTCTCTCATTGGTTGTTACAAAACATTGAGTGTAGTTCCTTGTGCTTGGGCTATATAGTAGGTCCTTATTGATTATGTATTTTATATACAGTACTGTATATCTGTTAATCCCAAACTCCTAATTTATCCCTCCCAGCACTACGTGATTCTGATGCATGCCAAAGTTTGAGAACCACACTCTTCTGTGGGGGCCTGCAAGAAACTTCCCTGTGAGGAGATTTTAATTGACACTATACACAACTTCTATACCTTAACCATTGTGCATAAGGTTAAACCCCAAAGCTTCCTGACAGCAAGTTTTAGAAATTGAATAACACTTCTGGCAGATAGTAAGGCATCAAAGCACTGATTTCTTGAGGTTTGGCACTATTTTCCTCTTCTCATTAGTCAGAAATCATTTCTTACACAGCCAGGCTCTAGGATGACGCATTTGTTCCTTGCGAGCAGTCCAGGGCACATTGAAGCTCTTCATTGGTAGGATTTGATGAAAGAGTCTCTGAGCTTCACCCAACTCCTGACCACAGCTATAGTGAGGACTTCTTGTCACTTCATGCTAGAGCAGAACATGGAGTTTCTCCTCAGAGACTGGTTCATTCGAAGGAGCAAAATAGATGAGAATGTGAACTCCGCCCTCCTGGTCTTCTGGTGGTCACCACTGACGTTTTCAGACTCTAGTCTGCTCTGCTGCGTTGCATTAAGGTCGGAAGACAGTGAAGAGGCCACTTGGAACCTGAGGCCTCAACCTGGCAGCCTGCAGTCATGCTTGAGTCCTCCATTCATAGCCAGTGTTTAAACGGGGGATTTCACATGAAATCAAATTTTCAAGATCTTGGAAAATTGAGAAATGTCAACACTAGCCTCCTGTTTCTGCATGGCAGCAGTATCCTGGATTAGACAGCAACTGCTACCTTAAGATGGAGTGTGAGCTCTTTAATGGGATAGCCCTCAGCCACTCCTTAATTTTTTTTTTCCCATTCCTGAACTGTTTTTCTCATTTACTTTACTTACTTGTAGGCCAGTGCTTCTCAAACTTTAATTTCTAAATGAAGCACCAAAAATCTTATTTACATGCCAGGAAATATACTCTGACTCCGTGAATCTGGGAGGGGCCTCAGATTCTGCATCCCCAACATCATTTAGGATGCCCATGGCTGCTGGTCCAAGGACCACATTTTTCCGATAGCAAGGATAAAGACTATTTGAGTTCACCACGCTTAAAAGTTTACAAAGACTTTAATTTCTTGTCATTTTGAATGCCCCTCTTTCAAAGAAACACATTACCAAAGAATTTATAACCTCTCTAATACTTACCATGTATTTCAACTGTTTTCTTTTTAAAAGCAAGCTGGATGCGATCATGTTTTAAACTCAAAAGCCCGGAGAGATAAATGTGGGGTTTGTGGTGGCGATAATTCTTCATGCAAAACAGTGGCAGGAACATTTAACACAGTACATTATGGTAAGAATTTGTTCCTAAGAACTGTGAGAAGAAAAATAGTCAAACTGTTAACATTATTAACCACATGTAATATGTAAAAGTATTTGTGTAAAACATAAAATCAGTCTTGTTAAGGTATATTACCCATCTGGCTATAAGATGCCTAACAGTGAGAATTCTGATATATTCCTTTGTCACCACCCTTTACGCCATGCTTAGAGAAAATGAACCAGTCTGTGGAATGCTCAATTTCTGCTCAATTCTTTTCAGGTTACAACGTTGTGGTACTAATTCCAGCTGGTGCTACCAATATCGATGTGCGGCAGCACAGTTTCTCAGGGAAATCAGAGGATGATAACTACTTAGGTGAGATGGGTGCCCCTACCTTTTGTAGGAATTCTGGCTCCTTTTCCCTATAGCATGTAGAGAGCTTTCAGATTTAATGTATTTTCATAAAAGACATTGATTTTGAAACTCATTATTTTATTTCTCCTTCATACACTATACCCTCAGTATATTGATTTAAGAGTCGTGTAGTGACACTAGTCAATATCAAGGAATTGACTCTGGATCTTAGAAAATAGAAATGCTCCAAATCAAATTTTGAAAGCACCAGCCTTGTAAGTTTAGCATAAAATCATTGCTATCTTTGAGTCATTAAAAAAAAAAAAATCTGTCCTTTGAGTAACTGACATGCCAGTGTTTTCATAAAGTTGTTACTTAACCAATAGCAGACCACAGGTGGATTTATTCAATATTTCATTATGCCTGATCGTTCCAAAAAGTTGTATACTGGCAATATTTTTCTTAGGTCATTACTAACATGGCCCATCTTGCTATTCTGTAGGTTCTCCATCCTTCTCTCACCATGGCCAGGATCATGATTAATTCAAATTTATTCCTGTTTTCTAACCACAACTCACCAGGAACTCTGTGTTCATTTTTTTTTTTTAAGCTGGTGGCTCATCCCAGTTCCACTTCAATTTATTATTTTGTAAACTTCCATAAGTGATTAGGAAATTCACCCAATCATTTTTAATTTAAAAAAAGGACATGGGGACTGGGATAATGACAAAAAAGGATTGAGCTAGTCACTTAGCACAACCAGACTCTTCTTAGCTATGAAAAACAGCAGGAGTTGCACTTAGATCTAGAAGAAATCAAGGCAGTCTTGCTGGGCTGCCAATTTTTAAAAGAAATGAATGGACTTTCTTATAATGCCCAGGCAGGGACTCTACTTATCCATCTTGAATGCATCCTCTATAGAGGCTCTACAACAAATTCCTCTGTTGTAGCATTTTCTGCAGTGTCTCATTGTTCATTCTGTCAGCCACTTATTTAATATGTGCCAGGCTCTGTTCTAGGCATGATAAACAAACTGAACAAAAACATTAACAAATAAAAATCTCTCTTTCCTTAGAACTTACTTTTTAGTGGGAAGAGATAGATGATAAACAATAGCTTAATAGATAAGCAAACTATATTCTGTTAAAAGGTCATAAGTAAAATTAGAAAATACAGGAAATCGGGATACTGAGGGTGGAGCAGGAACAGTAGAATTGAAAATACTTGAATTGTAGCAGGCGATAACGGATATCTTGGGAAGAGCATTCTAGGCAGAGGGAATAACCAGTGTGAAACCCTTAAAAGAGTAATGCGTCTGGTTTGTTCCAAAGATAGAGGGAGGCCAGTGTGGCTGGAGCTGTGTAAGCACAGAGGAGAGTCCTAGATGAATTTAAACACGTATCAGGACTAAATCAGAGAAGGCCGTATAACTGTTGAAAGAACTTGAATTTTAAGAGACAAGGGTAGCTACTGGATATTTTGAACCACGGACTAGCATGATATAGTTGTATTTATATTTTTGAAAGAGTACCCTACTTGTTACATTCAGAATGGGGGGATGGTCAGGGGGAAGGGTACACAGGGTAGAAACAGAAAGACCGGTTAGGAAGTTATTGAAATAATCTAGTGGGTGGATTGAATATGCTATGTGAGAGAAAGAGAAGGCTCAAGGGTGACTCCACAGTTTTGACCTGAGCAGCTGAAAGAATGGAGTCACTATCAACTCAGCTGAGACTTGTTTCTTATATATTTATGTGACCACTGGTGTTTTAGGATCAGAAGCTGTGATTTTGTATCTTTAGCTCAAGATCTAAAGCCTTTACATAATATGAACTGAGTACATGATGGCTGAGTTATTGAATAACCATTGTTCACACCATCTGTACTGAGTACCTACCATTAATGGGGATGGAATTATGATGGAAATACATAGAATCTTCCTTCTTTTATTTGTTTATAATTTATTTCTTTCTTTATTTTTGGCTGTGCTGGGTCTTTGTTGCTGTAAGGACTCTTCTGTAGTTGTTGAGAGTGGGGGGCTACTAGTTAGGGTGAATAGGCTTCCTATTGCAGTGGTGGCTTCTTGTTGCAGAACACAGGCTCAGGCACAAGTGCTTCGGTTGTTGTTGCATGTGGGTCGGTAGTTGTGCCTCCTGGACTGTGGAGCACAGGCTCTATAGTTGTGGCTCACAGGTTTAGTTGCTCTGCAGCGTATGGGATCTTCCCGAATCAGGGATCAAACCCATGTCTCCTGCAATGGCAGGGAGATTCTTTACCACTGAGCCAGCAGGAAAGCCCTCCTTCTTTTAAGCATGCATGCTAAGTTGCTTTAGTCATGTCCAACTCTGTGCAACCCTTTGGACTGTAGTCAAAACAGGTTCCCCTGTCTATGGGATTCTCCAGGCAAGAATACTGGAGTGGGTTGCCATTTTCTTCTCCACTTCTTCTTTTAGGAAAGACTATTAAATCTTTCTTGGAATCAGTTCTCAGTGGTCACATCACCTTTTCCACACCCTAAATACTCAAAGGAGTGGTGCCTTTTAAAACAGTTAACAAAGTTCTTGGGGATCCTTTTCAAATTATTTTTGGGGAATCCCACATTTTTCCTTCAACCACCGTACAAAATGGGTCAGGCATTTTTCTTCGTGGACTGGGTTATAAATTAGAGCCTGTGACTGCTGTGGTCTTACTACTTCCTAATTAAATCCAGCAGCATTGCATGCAGCCTCCTTTATTGGTTAATTTCCTGAGAGCCAAATGCCATGTTGAGCCGTTCCTTTATTCTCCTCAAAAAGGAAAATATTCTCCAGTGTTCTTCTCCTTCTGGAGAAAAATATCCTTTCAAGCAGTGGCCTTAGTTCAATTCATCAACCAGGTTGGGCACCTAAATTAGGGAGGACCTTCTGATATCCTTTTATGTCTCACTAGAGGTTTCTTAATCTCCTTGTAAAGAATGAAAGCAAAAGTAAAGATGGTCTGTCATCTGGGACAGGCAGTTTGAAGTAGTCGTGGCTCTTTAATGGAATATTACGGGAAAGTTACCTGTTGGTCAAAGAACGTCTCTTTGGAAGCAAATGAAAAGTGCAAGCAAAGATGGCACATCACAGTTCACCAAGTGTGAAGGTTAAGACCTCAGAGCCTTTGAACCTTACTGTGGTTTCTTAACAAGTTAGGAAGAGTATGATGTTGTTACCAAATCTGGTGTGTGTGAATGTTTACTCTGGGTTTGAAGGAAGGCACGGCAAATGCTCTAAGAAGATTTTACAGCCCCCAGTTGAGTCTTGCTGGAGTCGAGCCCCAGCTGTTGCGTTGCTGAGCAGTCATCATCCTTATCCCTCATACTTTTCTTTAGGGTCAGTCAAGCCATACTCTTTTTGCATGTGTTGGTGAAGAAGTAATTTCCAGGAGAGAGGGCCTTTGTAGCCGCCCAGCTCTGATGGGTGAAATGGGGGGGAAACCAACCCAGGAAATTAGCTCCCTAATCGCATTAGTGGGAGGTTGGGCAGTAGATGGTTGTTTTCAGGAAGCTATTTGTTTCACAAGGTACCGAAGCAGAAAGCCTCCGTGTCAAAGGTCGTCCTTTCAACATAGACCCCTCCCTCCAGTTGGGTTAAAGCCAAGTTGCACCCAGTGCTGCCATCTTCGTATTTCTTTAGGAGAAAAAAGGAGTTATTTCCATGGTGTTTATTTGTCTCCAGGATACTAACCTTTGATGAATGTTGTCAGCGGGAAGACAGGAATCAATTCAGTTCAAGATAAAGCAGGAACTCCATTTCACTTGATGACTCCTATCTCCTTTCCTACTCACCATTTGCTAGGATAAAGAGCATGCAATGAAGGGTGAAATGCCCCCAAGTCAGCACAAGCATGCGAGGAAGCCTGGAGATGTTGGAAAGGGTCCCCAGAATTAACCTAGGATAGATGATTGCTCTTTGAATACAGACAGAACTGGATTATCGCTTAATTTACAGAACTGGCCTTGTGACATCTCATTTCCCCCTTTTCACTGAAGCATCAGCTAGGTAGCTAGCCTTCGACTCCACTTGAAAGCACTGGGTGATTTTGCTGGCAGCACATCCTGCCACTGCCATGCAAGTGCCCACATCAGGAGGCAGCCTTAGGAGGCCTGAGGTGCCACAGAAACAACCTCATCTCTAACCAGTGACCCATTGAAACTCCTGCATCTTGCATGACTGGTGGGTCTCATGCTGCAGGAGCTGCGGGGAGACGAGGTTGTCAGAGGTTTATACTGACAGGAAAACAGTTATTTGGCTGAAAGCTCTCTGTTCTTCTTGTCACAAATGTCAGGTTCAATCTGTCACTTGTTCTTTCAGCATCATTGATTGAGCACCTACTATGGGCTGGGATCTTTCTTAGGCTTATACAAAGCACCTTTTGACTTTACTTAAAGAGGCTCATGCAATCTAGCAAAATCAACAATTTAATTTTTTTAAGAAAATCTATAGCTGAACATATTTGCTTTCAATTTGCACATAAGGTAAAGAATGCCTGAAATCATTCACTGATTTCATGGACATTTGTTAGCTTTCTTCTTGAAAATACTGGTGGTTGACAGGCTCTGGAGATAGATTTCCATGATTAGAAGTCACTTGGCCTCAGAAAATATTTTAATAATATTTAAGTCATGCTTTTCTTATCTATAAATTAAGCGTCTATAAAAGTGTGATGAGAAGACAGTGCATTTGAAGGCATTTTGATCTGCCAGCTACCACATCCTATATGCATTATCTTGTTCAATATTTACAACAATTCTATAAGAAAGCTAGGCTTCCCTGGTGGCTCAGACGGGAAAGAATCTGCCTGCAACACGGGAAACCCGGGTTCGATCCCTGGGTCAGGAAGATCCCCTGGAGAAGGAAATGGCTACCCATTCCAGTATTCTTGCCTGGAGAATTCCATGGACAAAGGAGCCTGTAGGCTACAGTCCGTGGGGTTGCAAAGATTCCAACAGGACTGAGTGACTAACACTTTCACTTTCACTTTATAAGAAAGCCGTTATC